GTATATATTTTTCCCCCATAAACTCTCTCTGTTGATAGTCTTTTATTGTCTTGCACTGAAAAGTTACCAGCTGGTGCGTTCAGTATTTTCCCTTCACTCCCAGTCCATGATGGGACTTAGTTCAATACGTTTATTGAAATGGCTACTTCACCAGCCGCAGATCCTACGCGGCGTTCTGCTATTAATATATGCCTCTTATCGCCGTGGCTGTGGCCGCTTAGCGAAAGAATAGTATGGATAAGATTGGTATATCTATCAAATACTTTTACACATGTCCTCAAGGCTAAAGTAGATGAGAAATATTTTCACCTTAAGTGAATGTGTTTACTCAGCTCTTAAAATAAACAAGATTTAGTGATAGCTCTTAAGGAGAAGTAGTTATTGCTGATGAATGATGAATTCAAAACACTTGTTCTTGAGCGATTGCTTGATAATTGGCACACACGTTCAGTTTAGATGACAAAACATTTAATGGTGAGTGAAATTATTTTAATACGACTTACATTCCAAGAGGGCGGACTAACAATATAACGACGGCCAGGATTAAATTTTCAGCCGAGGAAGGAATTTTATTATTGATTTTAAAAGTGTCACTTGCGTCGTGGTTTAAGAAAACTTTACAAATGGTAAGGTTTTCTTGTATCAAATAAAAGTTGAGAAGAATATTTCAAAAGAGGGTCGGTACCATTTTATGTCGAGAAAATGAGGCTCCTAAAATCGAATAAACAAACGAACGCCGGTAACATTACTTTTGTAGCGTTTAATAAAAGATTGTTTTTTATAACCTAAATTCTCCTTCTATATAATCTGATTTGGATGAAATTTGACACACATATTACAGTTTATGTTGTGGATTGATACATAGAAATCAGAAATCAATATATCTTTATTCAAATTGGATGTATAGTACAACTCTTTTGAATCGTCCAAAAATTTTTTGTCCCTACCACTCGTTTTGGTCATATTTTTAAGCTGCGGTGAAAAACGAGCGAAAAAAACTCCACAACATTAAAAGTCTAATGTAACAACATTTACAAATCATTATGTTGTTACAACGTCAATACAATTATGATTTGTATAAGATTCTGTTATCCCGGAAAAGTGTTAAATTGCTGAGGGATTTTCAAAAAACTAAAGTTTACACGGATATGAAGTCGCGAGCGGCCGCTATTTAATTTAATAACCACGACAAATACATCTGAGAAGAGAGCATGAATAGAGAAACTCGCTAAAGACAAGGTACAAGGTAAGAATTCCGTAAATAACATAAATTACTTTAACACCTATCAAATAATATAGCTTTATTGTACAAGAATATCCATACTAATCTGCCTGTGCTCCGGCGCAACATCGACGTGTGTGGTCCACGGCGCAGCGAAGGTTGCTCCACTTTATTACTCATACCATTATAGCTGAGCCGTTCGTAAGGAAATCTTACGATTCTCACTTTTTATATGACGCGGTATCAATTTTTCCCTGAAAGCCTTCGTTGTGTGTCTTATTGGAATAATAAATACACAGTAAGAATTTGCTACGAGTGTGTTCATAATTGAGTATTAAAACACTTATGTGATATTATTATCACACGAGGCGAAGCCGACCCATATTTGTATATTAATAACTATTACAATATTATAAACAGACTAGCTGACCCAGCGAACTTCGTACCGCCCTAAAAAAATAGGGGTTGTCCAGCGGACAAAATTGTGAATCTAAACCATTCTCAGATCCCCTTGAACACACACAAAAAATTTCATCAAAATCGGTCCAGTCATTTAAGAGAAGTTCAGTGACATACACACTCACAGAAGAATTATATATATAAAGATTGTTATCCTTTTGTTATTTATAATGGACACCATGTGCAGTATTGACCTGGTAAAGCGTCAAAGGTGCGCCACAATAACATAGCTGAAATCACGTTTATTTATTTACTGTTCATAATTGAGTATTAAAACACTTATGTGATATTATTATTACACGAGGCGAAGCCGAACCCATATTTGTATATAGATAACTATTACAATATATAAACAGATTGTTATCCTTTTGTTATTTATAATGGACACCATGTGCAGTATTGACCTGGCGCGCCTCAAAGGTGCGCCACAATAAAACAGCTGAAATCACGTTTATTTATTTACTGTTCATAATTGAGCATTAAAACACTAATGTGATACTATTATCACACGAGGCGAAGCCGAATCCATATTTCTATATAAATAACTATTACAATATATAAACAGATTGTTATCCTTTTGTTATTTATAATGGACACCATGTGCAGTATTGACCTGGTAAAGCGTCAAAGGTACGCCACAATTAAATAACTGAAACCACTTATAAAATGTAAGTTATTTTATAGGGTTCCGTATCAAATGGGTAAAAATTAGGACCCTATTGCTAAGACTTCGCTGTCCGTTTGTCTGTCTATCTGTGTGTCTGTCATCAGGCTGTATCTCATGAACACACAAATACCAAAAACAGAATAAAAAAATAATTGCACCACAATTTACATTATATCACGTTTTTATCGCGTCTAACTGTCAAACTCCATAGTAATTTGACAATAGAGCGTGGTAGAAACGCGTTATATATCATATCGCGGTACTCATGCTAGGATATTTTTCTATCCCAATATTTGCCTAAAGATGTTTTACACTTAAGAAAAAAACAAACAGTCAGACTTCGAACTTCCTCCTTCCTTTACTCCTTTTTGAAAGCGGTTGAAAATGGCTTCAGTGTCATTTTAGATCTTCACTTCCAAGAAGGGTCCCATTTACTGTTTTAAAGTTTCATGGTCACTAACATTATTACAGTTATTACTGTTATTTACTGTTGCAAGCGCCATGATCACGGATTACCGGTTACTCTGTGATCATGGAGGCACTCGCCAATAGGGATGATGACTAATTTTTTTTTTCTTCGTTTATCAGGTAGATTATCAAAAAGTATTGGACACGTGTTTTTTCTTTTTTCACATAAAATAAACATTGCAGAGATACATTGATTTGAAAAGTCGCATGACGTCACGTTTGAGTACACTTATAAGTGAAAATTCACTCAAAAGTGACGTCACGAGCCCCTACTCCCAAACTTTGACGCGCTATAACTTTGTCATTTTTTTATTTATTAATTTATTTATTCAATTTAAACATGGAGGCTTAATGAATAATCCAAAACGCCGGCAAGACATATATACAAAATATTAACAATCATAGAAGGTATTCATTAAATTCAATAAAATTAAGAAAAAGAAATAATCAAATAATAATAATTATAACAACAACAAAAAAAACAGTAATACCAAATAGATAGGTAATGTCAAATATCAATGTCAAATAGTACTTAATAGAAACAAAGTCAAATCACCCATTCTAAACATTAATTAAATTTATAATAAAATAGTTAAGTATGTCAAATCAATAAAACAATTAATAATGTCATATCTAATCTCAACTATGAACAGATAATGTCAATTAAACTAATTTAATAAATAATGTCATATCTAATGTCAACTATGAACAGATAATGTCAATTATACTAATATACTAATTTTTGGTTGATTGCCCAAAGAAAAAATACGTGTCCATTATTTTTTGATCATCTAACTGACGGACTAAATAGAATTTCGTTTACTGTACCCCGTCATCACCCCTATTCTCAGCTTGAGGTCCCCTTAGGATCTCGCCGTCCCCAAACCCGGTGACGCTGTAAAGGTCATTTGTGACCAACAGCATACACACTCAAAAAAAATCCCGGGAACTGTTCAGAGTTTCTCTCCCCCCATACGATGAACCCCCCACCCGCACATTGAATCTATGGATTGCTAAGAAGTTGATCTCATTCATAGATCGCTTTAATACACATGGACAGCCTTATATTGAACATACCAAGCCGTAGTCATCTCGGTTAATTCAAAATAATTAGAAAAACAACTATATACTTAAAGCATGCTACAGTTCTCGAATTATCACCAATCAGTGTGTATGCCGAGCAGTCCCGATGTTTATCGAATGCACACGAACACAAACACGTTGTTTACCGAGAGCTTCCGACGAGTTCCGACGGCTAACTAAAGGATAAATATAAACAAGACTAATCAGCGCCGACCAGAATATGAAGGGGCCTTTCCCTAACTTTTAATCGAAATGTCGGTTGATTTTAAATTAATGATAATCAATATTTCCAACAGCCTACCCCAAAGTAAGCACTGTAGACTTTTGTTATGGGCTACTAGGGTTACGGATAGAATACATGTACTGATACATATACAAGTTTATATTAAACATCCATGACTGGAGTACAAATGCTCGTATTCTATCACACAACGTCTGTCCCCACCGGGACCTCTTGAGTAGGCGACACCTACACCTTTTACAATGCACAGCCCGCTGTTTCTACTATTCTTATGGTATCGTTTCATTTAGCCAAAGGTTGCCTGGTAGAGATTGCTACCTTAGCAATAAGGCCGCCTTTTGTGTTTGCGTTCCTGTTTTATGTTTATTGTTTTTTTTTGTAATAGTGCAATAAAGAGTATTCATTCATTCGTTCATTCATTCATTCATTCATTCGTTCATTCATTCATTAATTCACCTTGTAACCCGGCGTACAAACCACTCGTCCACGGAGGTCGTCTAATTAATCCTTCTTATATTATAGATGTGAATTTTTAAATGTTTGTAACTTAATCACGCAAAAACTACAAATTATGATGCCTAGACCGACGGAATCGGAGGGACCTACGATTGGAGGACGGGAGACTTAGCACACGTTGAGTTGATAGATCTGTCAGACACTAAGGCTGCTTCTCCACCAGAGATGTGCTATGCTACGTTGTTGTGGATGCGTTTGATATCCACCAATCAAATTCATTGGTCCACATAGCATAACACTGGTGAAAACGGGTTCAACTAAGCTATGTTTTTTATATGGAAGGATGCGTGCTATGGATGCGTGCTATGGATGCGTGCTCTGGATGCGTGCTATGGATGCGTGCTATGGATGCGTGCTATGGATGCGTGCTCTGGATGCGTGCTATGGATGCGTGCTATGGATGCGTGCTCTGGATGCGTGCTATGGATGCGTGCTATGGATGCGTGCTATGGATGCGTGCTCTGGATGCGTGCTATGGATACGTGCTATGGATGCGTGCTCTGGATGCGTGCTCTGGATGCGTGCTATGGATGCGTGCTATGGATGCGTGCTCTGGATGCGTGCTCTGGATGCGTGCTATGGATGCGTGCTCTGGATGCGTGCTATGGATGCGTGCTATGGATGCGTGCTATGGATGCGTGCTCTGGATGCGTGCTATGGATGCGTGCTATGGATGCGTGCTCTGGATGCGTGCTATGGATACGTGCTATAGATGCGTGCTCTGGATACGTGCTCTGGATGCGTGCTATGGATGCGTGCTATGGATGCGTGCTCTGGATGCGTGCTATGGATGCGTGCTCTGGATGCGTGCTATGGATGCGTGCTATGGATGCGTGCTCTGGATGCGTGCTATGGATGCGTGCTATGGATGCGTGCTATGGATGCGTGCTATGGATGCGTGCTATGGATGCGTGTTATGGATGATGCGTGCTATGGATGATGCATGCTATGGATGCGTGCTATGGATGCATGCTATGGATGCGTGCTATGGATGCGTGCTATGGATGCGTGCTATGGATGCGTGCTATGGATGCGTGTTATTGATGATGCGTGCTATGGATGCGTGCTATGGATGCGTGCTCTGGATGCGTGCTCTGGATGCGTGCTATGGATGCGTGTTATGGATGATGCGTGCTATGGATGCGTGCTATGGATGCGTGCTATGGATGCGTGCTATGGATGATGCGTGCTATGGATGCGTGCTATAGATGATGCGTGCTCTGGATGCGTGCTATGGATGCGTGCTATGGATGATGCGTGCTATGGATGCGTGCTATGGATGATGCGTGCTATGGATGCGTGCTATGGATGATGCGTGCTATGGATGCGTGCTATGGATGCGTGCTATGGATGCGTGTTATGGATGATGCGTGCTATGGATGATGCGTGCTATGGATGAGTGCTATGGATGCGTGCTATGGATGCGTGCTATGGATGCGTGCTATGGATGCGTGTTATTGATGATGCGTGCTATGGATGCGTGCTATGGATGCGTGCTATGGATGCGTGCTATGGATGATGCGTGCTATGGATGCGTGCTATGGATGATGCGTGCTATGGATGCGTGCTATGGATGCGTGCTATGGATGCGTGTTATGGATGATGCGTGCTATGGATGCGTGCTATGGATGATGCGTGCTATGGATGCGTGCTATGGATGCGTGCTATGGATGCGTGTTATTGATGATGCGTGCTATGGATGCGTGCTATGGATGCGTGCTATGGATGATGCGTGCTATGGATGCGTGCTATGGATGATGCGTGCTATGGATGCGTGCTATGGATGCGTGCTATGGATGCGTGCTATGGATGCGTGCTATGGATGCGTGCTATGGATGCGTGCTATGGATGCGTGCTATGGATGCGTGCTATGGATGCGTGTTATTGATGATGCGTGCTATGGATGCGTGCTATGGATGCGTGCTCTGGATGCGTGCTATGGATGCGTGCTATGGATGCGTGTTATGGATGATGCGTGCTATGGATGCGTGCTATGGATGATGCGTGCTATGGATGCGTGCTATGGATGCGTGCTATGGATGCGTGCTATGGATGCGTGTTATTGATGATGCGTGCTATGGATGCGTGCTATGGATGCGTGCTATGGATGATGCGTGCTATGGATGCGTGCTATGGATGATGCGTGCTATGGATGCGTGCTATGGATGCGTGCTATGGATGCGTGCTATGGATGCGTGCTATGGATGCATGCTATGGATGCGTGCTATGGATGCGTGCTATGGATGCGTGCTATGGATGCGTGTTATTGATGATGCGTGCTATGGATGCGTGCTATGGATGCGTGCTCTGGATGCGTGCTATGGATGCGTGTTATGGATGATGCGTGCTATGGATGCGTGCTATGGATGCGTGCTATGGATGCGTGCTATGGATGCGTGCTATGGATGCGTGCTATGGATGCGTGCTATGGATGCGTGCTATGGATGCGTGCTCTGGATGCGTGTTATTGATGCGTGTTATTGATGATGCGTGCTCTGGATGCGTGCTATGGATGCGTGCTATGGATGCGTGCTATGGATGCGTGCTATGGATGCGTGCTATGGATGATGCGTGCTATGGATGCGTGCTATGGATGCGTGCTATGGATGCGTGCTCTGGATGCGTGCTATGGATGCGTGCTATGGATGCGTGTTATGAATGATGCGTGCTATGGATGCGTGCTCTGGATGCGTGCTCTAGATGCGTGCTATGGATGCGTGCTCTGGATGCGTGCTCTAGATGCGTGCTATGGATGCGTGCTATGGATGCGTGTTATGAATGATGCGTGCTATGGATGATGCGTGCTATGGATGCGTGTTATGGATGATGCGTGCTATGGATGCGTGCTATGGATGCGTGTTATGGATGATGCGTGCTTTGGATGCGTGCTCTGGATGCGTGCTCTAGATGCGTGCTATGGATGCGTGCTATGGATGCGTGTTATGAATGATGCGTGCTATGGATGCGTGCTATGGATGCGTGCTCTGGATGCGTGCTATGGATGCGTGTTATGGATGATGCGTGCTCTGGATGCGTGCTATGGATGCGTGTTATGGATGATGCGTGCTATGGATGCGTGTTATGGATGATGCGTGCTATGGATGCGTGCTCTGGATGCGTGTTATGGATGATGCGTGCTCTGGATGCGTGCTATGGATGCGTGCTCTGGATGCGTGCTCTGGATGCGTGCTATGGATGCGTGTTATGGATGATGCGTGCTCTGGATGCGTGCTATGGATGCGTGCTCTGGATGCGTGCTCTGGATGCGTGCTATGGATGCGTGCTATGGATGCGTGCTATGGATGATGCGTGCTATGGATGCGTGTTATGGATGATGCGTGCTATGGATGCGTGCTATGGATGATGCGTGCTATGGATGCGTGCTATGGATGATGCGTGCTATGGATGCGTGTTATGGATGATGCGTGCTATGGATGCGTGCTATGGATGATGCGTGCTATGGATGCGTGTTATGGATGATGCGTGCTATGGATGCGTGCTCTGGATGCGTGTTATTGATGATGCGTGCTCTGGATGTGTGCTATAGATGCGTGCTATGGATGCGTGCTATAGATGCGTGCTGTGGATGCGTGCTATGGATGATGCGTGCTATGGATGCGTGCTATGGATGCGTGCTCTGGATGCGTGCTATGGATGCGTGCTCTGGATGCGTGCTATGGATGCGTGCTATGGATGCGTGCTATGGATGCGTGCTCTGGATGCGTGCTATGGATGCGTGCTCTGGATGCGTGCTATGGATGCGTGTTATGGATGATGCGTGCTACGGATGCGTGCTATGGATGCGTGCTATGGATGCGTGCTCTGGATGCGTGTTATTGATGATGCGTGCTCTGGATGTGTTATATAGATGCGTGCTATGGATGCGTGCTCTGGATGCGTGCTATGGATGCGTGCTATGGATGCGTGTTATTGATGATGCGTGCTCTGGATGTGTGCTATAGATGCGTGCTATGGATGCGTGCTTTGGATGCGTGCTATGGATGCGTGCTTTGGATGCGTGCTATGGATGCGTGCTCTGGATGCGTGCTATGGATGCGTGCTCTGGATGCGTGCTATGGATGCGTGCTATGGATGCGTGCTCTGGATGCGTGTTATTGATGATGCGTGCTATGGATGCGTGCTATGGATGCGTGCTATGGATGCGTGCTCTGGATGCGTGCTATAGATGCGTGCTATGGATGCGTGCTATGGATGATGCGTGCTACGGATGCGTGCTATGGATGCGTGTTATGGATGATGCGTGCTATGGATGCGTGCTATGGATGCGTGCTATGGATGCGTGCTCTGGATGCGTGTTATTGATGATGCGTGCTCTGGATGTGTTATATAGATGCGTGCTATGGATGCGTGCTCTGGATGCGTGCTATGGATGCGTGCTATGGATGCGTGTTATTGATGATGCGTGCTCTGGATGTGTGCTATAGATGCGTGCTATGGATGCGTGCTTTGGATGCGTGCTATGGATGCGTGCTTTGGATGCTTGCTATGGATGCGTGCTCTGGATGCGTGCTATGGATGCGTGCTCTGGATGCGTGCTATGGATGCGTGCTATGGATGCGTGCTATGGATGCGTGCTCTGGATGCGTGCTATGGATGCGTGCTCTGGATGCGTGCTATGGATGCGTGTTATGGATGATGCGTGCTATGGATGCGTGCTATAGATGCGTGCTATGGATGCGTGCTATAGATGCGTGCTTTGGATGTGTGCTATGGATGATGCGTGCTATGGATGCGTGCTCTGGATGCGTGCTATGGATGCGTGCTATGGATGCGTGTTATTGATGATGCGTGCTCTGGATGTGTGCTATAGATGCGTGCTATGGATGCGTGCTTTGGATGCGTGCTATGGATGCGTGCTTTGGATGCGTGCTATGGATGCGTGCTCTGGATGCGTGCTATGGATGCGTGCTCTGGATGCGTGCTATGGATGCGTGCTATGGATGCGTGCTCTGGATGCGTGCTATGGATGCGTGCTATGGATGCGTGCTATGGATGCGTGCTCTGGATGCGTGCTATGGATGCGTGTTATGGATGATGCGTGCTATGGATGCGTGCTATAGATGCGTGCTATAGATGCGTGCTTTGGATGTGTGCTATGGATGATGCGTGCTATGGATGCGTGCTCTGGATGCGTGCTTTGGATGCGTGCTCTGGATGCGTGCTATAGATGCGTGCTATGGATGCGTGCTATGGATGATGCGTGCTACGGATGCGTGCTATGGATGCGTGCTATGGATGCGTGCTCTGGATGCGTGCTATGGATGCGTGTTATGGATGATGCGTGCTATGGATGCGTGCTATGGATGCGTGCTCTGGATGCGTGCTATGGATGCGTGCTCTGGATGCGTGTTATGGATGATGCGTGCTATGGATGCGTGCTATGGATGCGTGCTCTGGATGCGTGTTATTGATGATGCATGCTCTGGATGTGTGCTATAGATGCGTGCTATGGATGCGTGCTATAGATGCGTGCTTTGGATGTGTGCTATGGATGATGCGTGATATGGATGCGTGCTATGGATGCGTGCTATGGATGCGTGCTATGGATGCGTGCTCTGGATGCGTGCTATGGATGCGTGCTATGGATGCGTGCTATGGATGCGTGCTATGGATGCGTGCTATGGATGCGTGCTCTGGATGCGTGCTATGGATGCGTGCTATGGATGCGTGCTATGGATGCGTGCTATGGATGCGTGTTATGGATGATGCGTGCTATGGATGCGTGCTATGGATGCGTGCTCTGGATGCGTGTTATTGATGATGCGTGCTCTGGATGTGTGCTATAGATGCGTGCTATGGATGCGTGCTATAGATGCGTGCTTTGGATGCGTGCTATGGATGATGCGTGCTATGGATGCGTGCTATGGATGCGTGCTCTGGATGCGTGCTATGGATGCGTGCTCTGGATGCGTGCTATGGATGCGTGCTATGGATGCGTGCTATGGATGCGTGCTCTGGATGCGTGCTATGGATGCGTGCTCTGGATGCGTGCTATGGATGATGCGTGCTATGGATGCGTGCTATGGATGCGTGCTCTGGATGCGTGTTATTGATGATGCGTGCTCTGGATGTGTTATATAGATGCGTGCTATGGATGCGTGCTCTGGATGCGTGCTATGGATGCGTGTTATTTATGATGCGTGCTATGGATGCGTGCTATGGATGCGTGCTCTGGATGCGTGCTATGGATGCGTGTTATGGATGATGCGTGCTATGGATGCGTGCTATGGATGCGTGCTCTGGATGCGTGTTATTGATGATGCGTGCTATGGATGCGTGCTATGGATGCGTGCTATGGATGCGTGCTATGGATGCGTGCTCTGGATGCGTGCTATAGATGCGTGCTATGGATGCGTGCTATGGATGATGCGTGCTACGGATGCGTGCTATGGATGCGTGCTATGGATGCATGCTCTTTATGCGTGCTATGATGGCCGCGAGTGGTGAAGCTGTATCAAGAAAAGAGTTCGCTGCCGCTCCTGCCCGCTTCCCTACTTTTGATACCCTTTACATCGCATAGCTCAAGCGGCGCATCTTCATAGCACATCCTACTCGCCTCGCTACATAGCTTAGCATCAGTGGAAACGGTCACGTAGTTTCGTAGCTTAGTTGACACATCCTCGCAGCGTAGCTGCATAGCACATCTCCAGTGGAAAAGCAGCCATAAGCCGGGACTCTACCAAAGCAGAGATGTGTGCGGTGTGCTGTGTACTATGCGAGAAGAGATGTTTTTCAGTTCGGGGGACTCCACCAAAGCTGAGATGTGTGCTGTGTACTATGCGAGAAGAGATGTTTTTCAGTTCGGGGGCCTCCACCAAAGCGGAGATGTGTGCGGTGTGCTGTGTACTATGCGAGAAGAGATGTTTTTCAGTTCGGGGGACTCCACCAAAGCTGAGATGTGTGCGGTGTGCTGTGTGCTATGCGAGAAGAGATGTTTTTCAGTTCGGGGGACTCCACCAAAGCTGAGATGTGTGCGGTGTGCTGTGTACTATGCGAGAAGAGATGTTTTTCAGTTCGGGGGACTCCACCAAAGCTGAGATGTGTGCGGTGTGCTGTGTGCTATGCGAGAAGAGATGTTTTTCAGTTCGGGGGACTCCACCAAAGCTGAGATGTGTGCGGTGTGCTGTGTACTATGCGAGAAGAGATGTTTTTCAGTTCGGGGGACTCCACCAAAGCTGAGATGTGTGCGGTGTGCTGTGTGCTATGCGAGAAGAGATGTTTTTCAGTTCGGGGGACTCCACCAAAGCTGAGATGTGTGCGGTGTGCTGTGTACTATGCGAGAAGAGATGTTTTTCAGTTCGGGGGACTCCACCAAAGCTGAGATGTGTGCGGTGTGCTGTGTGCTATGCGAGAAGAGATGTTTTTCAGTTCGGGGGACTCCACCAAAGCTGAGATGTGTGCGGTGTGCTGTGTACTATGCGAGAAGAGATGTTTTTCAGCTCGGGAGCGAGGCGTTGAGTGCTCAGCTGGGCTGTGCGGGTTGCTGGCGGGCGAAAGGGGGGAGGGTGAGACCGCTCACTGCAAGCCGCTCACATCTCTCGTCTCCACTGCGCGTCTTCCGCGCACAGCTCACATCTCCGCTTTATCGCGCCATACAAATATTACACATCTCCGCACAGCGATCTCCACTGAAGCTGAGCGGAGAGGAGATGTGTCAATAACACAATTCTATTAATGGTTTAAAAAACATCTCCTCTCCGCTCGTCTCGTCTCCGCTTTTGTGGAGTCCCGGCCTTATGGGTGCCTCAATGAGGGCTACCGTTTTCTGCCTCACCAGATGGCGCCACTGTTGAGTGAGGTCCTAAATTGTAACTTTTAAAGTTTATTAATACGCACATGAAATCAAAGGTTACATTTAGATCGTATTTTAACACAAAAGAACCATATCCTAAACATAATAGGCCATGCCACAGTGACGCGCAGTTCCGTTTTATTCGGAAAAAATAGGAACATAATCATTTTTCTAAGCTCAAAGAAGATTGCTCAAATTGGCCCAAATGCACAAAAAATATTGACATATACGGTAATTCTTGGCGTAATTTATACTTTATTTTACAGTCATTAGATTTTAACGGACACCTCTGTTTAATATTAAAAAGGACTTTTAATTTTGCCGGACTTTTAATTTTGAGGAGCTCGATGGCACAAGTGGTTAGCGCGTTCGGCTGCGATCGTTGAACTTAAGCAACTTTCGCAGTGGTCGGTCATTGGATGGGTGACCAAAAATTACTATCTAGAGCTCCTCCGTGCTTCGGAAGGCACGTTAAGCCGTTGGTCCCGGCTGCATCTGCAGTCGTTAGCACCTACCAACCCGCACTGGGCCCGCGTGGTGGGTCATGGCCCAATCTCCCTATTCCATCCATAGGGAAGGCCTGTGCCCCAGCAGTGGGGACATTAATAGGCTGATGATGATGATGAATTTTGCCGGTTTGGAAAACATACGAATCATTTTTAATTGCTATGGGTATAGTAACATTCAGCCAAAGACTGATTGAAGTTATTTATATAACATAAAGCCAAATCTATTTATTTGTAAATATCGATAAAATAAAACATTTTTTTATTACACTATTGTATTAATATCCACAACTATATTATCATTTTCACTACATGCAAATGTGCAAGACAATTATTATAGATGGTAGGCGACATTATAAAGTCTATTGCCATACATTTTACGCCAAACACTTCCATAAACACATCATAAGGTGTGATACACTAAAAATCTAAAATATGGTTATAATATAAACATAACAAAAATAATGAAGCTACTGAAGATATGGGTGTATAACCTAAATCTCTTATGGTTAACGAGAGTTTAAAAATTCTCTCTAATCTGTGGCTCATTCACAATTATCACACAGTTTCTGTCACAGAGTACCTTATTATAACCGGAAATGCATAGATGATACCTGATTTTAAAAGTTACTCTTGTGCATTAACTTTAAAAACAGGCAACTATCTGTTAATCTACATGCTCTTTATACCTGAAATACATAATTTCGGTACTTGGCTTGATTTTCCTAGTTTACTTTATAACTTATTTGTTTTTTATTATTTTAATACCTATGTACCTTTTTGCAAACATAACCTCAAAATCATTCAGTGTATATGGTTTATAGAAGTTCTCAGGGGTGTCCGTCAATAATATTCATTTCTACAGTAATTTATATATATAATTTCGAATCTAAGAAACAATTTTTCATGATTATTGGTCTTTAGGCCAAACATGTATGGAAGCTGAGCAATCTCCTTTTTAATAACTGACATTCATTGCCACATAACTCATATTTGCCATAATTAAGCCGAATTGTTACCAATTATTCACAACATTATTTTAATAAGAAATAAACCCGCGTAGTCAATCAACAAGCAATAACATTTGACATTTCGGAGACCTCACGCTACACTAGCGCCTCTAGCGGCGCATTCATACGCGATAGCCCTCATTGGCTTATCAGTATAAGAATTTTAAAATTTTCGATTAGGTATGTTCTGTGAACTAAAAACTCTTTACCTACCATTGAAAATAATAAAACGAAACTCGACCTCAGTCAATCAAACAATCGTGATCAAACACGACGGGTGAAACGAAACGCACTCACAGCGTTAAACACCATAACAGCTAAAACAATACTTACATAATAATCACTTTTCGTTACCACAGTAAAACAAAAAACAAACTTACTTATACCGCTGAAAACGGGTGTTACGCCTAATTCACCTTTAAAGTCGACGGTAAAACATAAATTTGTTACAAACCAAAACTATTTTTAACGCTTTCATTGACTTAACTCATGAAAAACGCATAAGAGCTTTTCAAACAGTATCAGTACAATATGAAAAACACAAATAATAATAAGTACTAGTTAAACTACGATCAATTTTCAACTTTAACACTTGTCTATTAAGAGAGTTCAATATCTTTGTGGCCACTGTACTGTATTCCAAACCAAATATTAAAGCTCACGAAATGTAGATCATTTGTAGAGAGTTTATTCTAAACTTGAGAAGTGTTTTTACAATTTAGAACGACTAGCTTTAAAAGCCCTGGATTCGATGCCCTGAAGGGCATTCAATCTTAAAATTAAAAAATTGTGTGCACGGAGCACACATCTGAAGTGAAATTTATTTTCTTTAATAACCTAACATTAGGCGGTGTACATATAATGCATAAAGGAATGAGAGAGGATGATATATCTAATATATAAAATTCTCGTGTCGCGGTGTTTGTGGTTAAACTCCTCCGAAACGGCTCGACCGATTCTCATTAAATTTTGTGTGCATATTGGGTAGGTCTGAGAATCGGACAACATCTATTTTTCATCCCCCTAAATGTTAAGGGTAACCCCAAAATTTCTTTTTTCAATTTTAGATATTTTTTTTTACAAAAGTACATACAACCCTAAATTTTCAGCTTTCTACCACCAACCCCTATTTTTTTAGGGCGGTACGAAGTTCGCTGGGACAGCTAGTATATATATATACATATGAGAGATGGCAAGGTGAGGATGGTTGGTGTAGCAGTTTATAATTCCTGTACCGACTATCTTCGCGTTTGGACTTTATCACCACTTAACATCAGGTGGGGTAGAGTCATTTGCCTACCTGGTTCTAAAAAAAAGAATCGTATAACTTTTATCGAGGCTCAAATTATATACCAATTTTCACCGAAATCGGTTCTACGCTTTAAGCGTGAAGTAGAACAGACAGACAGACAAACTTTCGGATTTACAATACAAATGTATGGATAGTATATACGTAACCTTTAAATTTACATTGAAACTTATAATAAAACTCGGCTCATCTTTCAATGTAAATCAATTCCGATAATTAAAAAGCCTTTATAACGTGTTAAGTACACCACTTAAAAATTCTTTAATGGCGGCCGACGAAATTATGAAGATAAAATGTTGTAAATCAAAACGCTAAATTGATTTTCGTGAGTGATGCATGTCCGTTTTAGAATAAGGGCTTATGACAGATTTAGATCACCACTAAGTTGAGTGAAAAATGTTTTGTATATTGTATTTAAATATACATATTACACGATGGTACAGTGGTGAGCGCGTTGAAGTTAAGCAACTTTTGCAGTGGTCGGTCATTGGATGGGTGACCAAAAATTTATTAACTCGAGCTCCTCCGTGTATGGAAGGGACATTAAGCTTTCGTTCCCGGCTGCATCTGCAGACGTTAGCGCCCACCAATCCGCACTTGGCCCGCATGGTGGGTCATGGCCCAATCTCTCAATCCCGTCCATAGGGAATGCCTGTGCCCCAGCAGTGAGGACATTATTAGGCTGATATTGATAACATTCACGATGTGGGATTCTAAGGCGCAGTAGTTATCTGGTTCGGTCAACGGCTATTGAAGTTATGTAACTTTTCCAAAGGTCAGTTATGAGATAGATGAAGATGCTGCGGTCTGGAGCATATGAATGGATGCTC